ATGTCTATGAAATCTATGAAATCATTGAAATCTTCCTGGATAATGCAAGAAATACTTTAATTCAGTTTAGATACATTTACATCCTTTCCCAAAGCCTTTCTCTATGCAGTTCCCAAGAACTTAGTGGTAAAACTGGATCCAGGAAAAAGAAGGATGGAGATCTAGGGGTGGAAACAGACATCATCTGACGTCTCACTTTTGCTACCATAAGAATCTTTACATCGGCACAAATGCTAAGCAAATAGACATTGCTACCCTTTGTTGTACCGCATGGCTGGGTTGGGGTAGCAGGAGGAGTGGTGCAACAAAAGGTTATAATAGAGGAAGCTCATGAGAGTACAAGTCATGGGCGACTGGTGCTGCCTTATTTAGGGGGGGCATGTGCCCCCCCCGTGACCGTAGCCAATCCCATGATGGCTGATTGCTGCAGCCAATCACTACAGCTGCTTCTGGGAGTGGCTGGGGGCCCACTCTGGGGTGGCTGTGGCCACTTCTGGGAGTGACTGCAGCGATCTGCCGGTGCTTGCAGGGTGGGCACCAGTGCTCCCACCTGCCACTCCTGCCCATTGCCTAAGCAGTGAACATGGCCAGTCAGAGGGTGCACCGGTGCTCTCAGGGGGTGAACATGCACCCCTGTGCACTCCTTATGCATTGCCACTGGTACAAATGCCCTGAGCTGCTTGCACCCTTCCACTGCCCTGGGCTGCTCTGGAGGCTTGAGGAACCCTCAGGGTCCCAGAGCACTTGCTCGCTTCCTCTGTTTTATATATGGCCACTCAGGGGAATCTCAGGGTGTCTCTCCATAAGTGAGGATGTTGAAGTTCCCCACTCAGTCAGACCTGTGCTTTGGGTCTGGCTGAGCAGGGAAACTAAGGCTTTTCTTTGCCTAGGCAGACCCAGCCCGCCCCGTTTCCCCCACTCAGCTAGACCCTAAGTCTGGCTGGGCAGGGAAAGCCCCCTCCCCACTAGGCTAGACCTGTCCCTGGTGATTACTGGGGAATCTGAAAAGGGAAAGTGGGGAGATCACATCATCCTTTGTACTACACCATCAAGGGTGAGACAAGGAGCAGCATGTGTTTTGTCCAATGAAGCAAATGAGCTGTGCCATGATACATCACACAGCTGATCCACTTCATTTGGTGACATCTGTTTCTATCATTGGATTAGCTATGTCAGTATGCCTGGAGTTCTGTGTAAAGAGCAAGTTGGAACCCTAATATACCTTGGTGTGGCAGCAATCCCTCATGGTCAAGGATGATCACTCCCAGGGGTCAAGGAAAGGGTTGTAGATGAGTCTGTTGATGATGAAGAAGGCCACTCCTAGAAGCACAGACCCTTTGGCAAATGCCACAGGTGTTGGTTAAAGCGAGGTTTGGAACACTGATTTCTCAGTCTTCCTGCCTTGCCCTACCCCCAAATCACTGGGAGATAGCAAGAAAACCTCTGCAACCTAGAGCAGGTAGATATTAGAGAGGACCATGCTCAGGAGTGTTAATGAAGCAAAGCACCACGACCAGCTTAGTTACAAAAGAAGACTAAAGCAGGTGAAGTAAGGTTGTGGCAGGGACAGAGAGGAAAGTTTTGAAAGCAGGACATGGGTAGTCTTGCCTATTGATTATGCACCTGAAGCACTGGTGTTGTCCTGATCAGTTCCCCAGGGAGCATGGAGATATGGAGGACTCTGGTGTCAGAACTGGATTCAGCAGTCATACGCAAAGCAAAGCACACTGGGGTCAAAAGCTGTAGCTGGAGACAGGGTAAGCCAAGAGTTAACCAGGAGTCAAAAGAGTCAAAAACTAGAGCTGAAGGTCAAACTAGAATCAGGGAATGACAAGGGTCTTACCAGATCAGAAGCTAAATTTGGAGCCAAGAGTCAGAACCAGAAAACCAGCAAGGAAGCACACAGCAGGCCTACAGCAAGAGCTTCCCCCTTTGCCTGGGCAAGGAGCCTACAGGTTGGGCTTGGCATTCAAAGACTGGAGCAGGTAGGGCCCGCTGCCTCTGGGGACTGGCTGCCCTGATGGCTTACTCAGCCTTGCTGGGACCAAGGTGCTGCTTTGCGCTTTGGGCTTGCTACCAGTGGTACTTGTTCTGGAGATGACTTACCCTGCTCTGTTGATTGGGACTGGCTGGGTGCAAGGTTATGGCCCAGATTCATTACACTTCCTATCTAGCTGAAAATCATCCCTGCAGTGGGTATTGACTTTTGAGGGCACAAAGGTCAGCATTTTGGGGGTTTCTCAAGATGTAGATTTAGGAGGATTTCTATGCCAAAGCTACATCAGAAATTTGACCCTGTGTCCTGTATGTATGTATGGATGGATGCATATCTATCTATCTATCTATCTATCTATCTGCTTTCAAGTGTCCCATATCTATCAATCTAATGACAAGCACAAGCACAGAGATTCCTGTGGTGCTTTAAAATATAATGGAAAATACTGAACACAGTTATAACTTTGGAACCCCACTAAGACCTCTGGAACAGTGGGATTATACATTGGCAAAAAAGGAGCCAGGAAAGAGCTGTAACAAAGCACTGATCAAAGTGTACTCAAGGCTGCCTGCATCTCTATCTATTGGCACAATTATATGGGAGGCCTGAAGACATACATGGGTAAGATAGAGAAACCAGGTCAGAAGCCCTAAGCCAGAGGCACTACACAGATCTGATGGGGCTTTGTGGGTGTAGTAAACCCAGATGCAGGGGTGATATCCAGGTCTGAGCTGGAAACACCAGGGGCAGGGTGGAATGTGAACTTCTGAAGGAGTCTTGTGAAGAAGAGGAAGAGCTCCATTTTGGCAAGATTTTCGCCTGCACACATCCTCCGACCTGCAAGGAAAGGTATGACAAGTATGAGCATTTCAAAAGCAGCTGTTGATTTAACTGTAAAATGGAACAAATACTACAGGAGAGCTTCTTGTCTCAGTGAAAACCTGTGTTAATTCAGTACAAAGACATCTATGTATGCAATGTTTCAATGGCTAGGGAGTGTGGCATCAAAGAGATTAAGGTGTTTTGCTATGGCTCCGGAAGCATTCATTCAAGTCCTACTCTGGACTCATGATAAAGGTTGTTCCCAGTTTATGCAGTAAATAGCTACGTGGTCAATCTGGCTGGGTAAGTTACAGGTGGTTCAATCTGGTGCTGGCTACATCACTCCTTTGTGTGCCACTGACTACAGTAACTAGTGTGCTAAACTGTAGGGATCAATTGGGGTGTTAGTGTTGGATGGACCTTCCTTCCTTTAAGATACAGGTCTCAAACATACAGCCAGATATACAGCCCAGGGAGGTGGGTCATCCAGCACATCATCTTTTTTTTCTGCAGTTCCCTCTTGAGATTGTTAGACTCTCCCTGAGCTCAATGTTGAAGAAGAGTTGGAGATAGCTTCATTCACCTTAATAGTGTAAAACATGATAGTGTTCTCTAGTGAACTAGACCAAGGTTACTTAGATCACCCCCAGTGTGTGCCCAGTTTTGTCTCCATTTTTCTTTCTCTCTTCTCAGCTTCCACCTCCTCTTTTTGTTTTGTGCTAGTACTGCCCAATAGGCATGGCTTGTCTTTGTTGTAGCCCTCCTGTCTCTGTCTCTTTTCTATCCTCATCTATTCTGTTCCTTTCTAACAGAACCAGGATGAAGAGTCAAAAGCTAGAGCTGAAAGTCAAACCAGAATCAGGGGGAACCTGCCCCCCCCCCCCCCCCCCCCCAGGGAATTCATGGTAATGTGAACAAATCTTTATGGAAGGAAGAGCACTGGGATGTCTTGGACATTTTGAGAAATACTCAAGCATGATATAGAAGTGGTGCAAATTGTACAAGTGGGCAAGCATGTGAGCCCTGGGCTCTGCCTGAGGTGGGGCTGCCCAACAGGAACAGACATCCTGTGCTCCCCATCCCTCTGCACCTTTTGGCTCCAGCTCTGGCAGCAAAGCAGCAGTGGCAGCATAGGGGTGTATCCAAGTGAGCAAAGGGCATTCTCAGAAATTTAGTTCTGGAATGTGTCTTGTTTGCTGCTGGGGGAAAATGTCACCGCATGTTTTTGCCTCTGAAAATTGGTGAATTTTCTGGCTCCCTAATATAAGTG